TAATTTAAAATTGCTGGGTGAAGTTAAATATTCAGCAGCATGACTAAAATTAGCTCTTCATTGTGTGCCTGTTTGGAGGGACAAGGGTGGGAGTTGTTTTGGAGCTTTTTTTGGTTTTGAAAATTGGGTTAAAAATGTGATATAATGAATCTTTGGCATTAAAACCTGGATGAATAAAATAAGATCTCAAGTTCATTTAAATATCTTTTTTTTTTTTTTTTAATCTTTTAATTTAAACATTCATAGAGTGGTTTGGGTTGGAAAGGATGTTAAAGATGATCTAGTTCCATCCCACCTGCCACAGGCAGGGACACCTCCCACTAGACCAGGTTGCTCAAAGCCCCATCCATACTGGTCCTGAACACCTGCAGTGAGGGAGCATCCACAGCTTCCCTGGACAACCTATTACAGTGTTTCACCACCATGATAGTGAAGAACTTCTTCCTAATTTCTAATCTAAATCTCCCCTCTTCCAGCTTGAACTCATTACCTCTCGTCCTGTCACTACAAGCTCTTGTAAGAAGTCCCTCCCCAGCTTTCTTGTAGGCTCTGTTCAGATACTGGCAGGCTGCAGTAAGGTTCAGCCCAGAGAAGAGAAGGCTCTGGGGAGACAACTCCAACTCTCTCAGCCTGCCCTCACAGGGGAAGTGTTCCAGATGATCTCTCTGATCATCTTTGTGGCCTTCCTCTGGACCTGCTTCAGCAGGTCCTTGTCTTTCTTGTGCTGGGGGCTCCAAAGCTGGACACAGTACTCCAGGTGGGGTCTCATGTTGGTGGAGCAGAAGGGTAGAATCACCTCCCTTGATCTGCTGGCCATGCTTCTTGTGGTCTCATAGTGCTGCTGTATTCCATGGAGATGAAACTCTTAAAATTATGAACACGAAGTAATTCTTGTTATCATTATGGTCTGAACAAATTCATTTTCTTTGGAATTTTAATTCTGAAATCTTGTACAATGTATCTCCTCATTCACAATTCATAAATTTTTTCATGAGGTTTTTAAAATTAATGAGTTTTAAACCTGCATATAGTGTTCAGGAAAGTAGAGGAATTGGTATATTTTACGCTTTTATAGATACTAACCTTTGTGAAGTTTTGAGGTGGTAAAGCACAACCAAGTTCATGGATAGTAGGTGCTTATGGGAGAAAGGAAATAACTATAACCTTTCATAGCTTCTTTCCAATAAACAGACAGATGACTTTTGCCACCTATTCAATAATTTGTGCATTGCATTGATTATTTATGCCCAGCAAATTGACTGTTGTGTGGTGGTTCAATGGTGCTCTTTAAATAGGCTGAGAGAGTACACAACATGCAGTACTGACTAAAACAGCATACAGTGAGTCTTCCTATCACTAGAATCTACAAAACAATCACATTTTTAACTTTCTCAAGTTAACTCTCTGAAGAAGCACTATTTTCCCTCCATTGTTTTGCAAAAAGGACTGTTTGTGTGGCTAGTTTCATGACCACTCACTGTCACGACTACAAACACTGTGGTGCTACAAGCGATGGTGAAGTGGGGACGCTCAGGCTTACTGGTGTACCAAGGAGCCCAAGGATGGAGTTGCGACAAAACCTTCACATGCAGCCCAAGCAGCCTTCCTGGCATCAGCAGCAGGGGCTGGACATCCGCACCTCCTTCAGCTCATCCACACTGCCCGTGGCTTCCAAACACAGAGGGAAATTTACAAACCTACGTGACAGTGTAAAAAAGAGTCCTACAAAAAGCACCGCCAAAGTAAAAGCTGCCAGTGGCTGGGTGTCTGACGGCTCGTGTTCTAATTGTTCCTTAGGAAAGGTAGGTATTGCCTAGGTATTTATAGGTGGGCATCTTGGGTGCAAACTCTAGAAACTCATGCTTTTTTCTTTCAGTAGTTTTGTCCTTGCTCTTTCTCGAGGCTTTGTTACTTGATTTTCTTTTGCATTTTATCACTAGAAATCAAAGTAGTACTGATTGAACTTGGCCTGGCAAAGAAATACTTCTGCTTGGTGTTTTCCCATCAAGATAGTTGCCCTGTGTACAGTGTGGGTTTTTTTACAGTAATTTCTTGGAAGTGAAGAATGTCTGGTTTGTTTGATTCTTGTTCTCAGTTATCTGTCTTCTTAGTACTTTGTAAAGAGCAGTATTATGGTATGTGCTGTCTGAGTTGATCTGCTTCAGGACGTGATGTTATGGTGCTCTGATCTAATTTCAGGTTAGTTGTTATCTCCTCGTAGAAGGAGTTACTGCGTGTTGCTTAAACGTGAGCAGATGGATGTGATCTTCCTTTGCACATCTCAATTTAGTGCTAGATCAGAGGCACTCATTTTAGTTGATCACTTAAAAGCGTTATCTTAGCTTTTAAAAACATACCACTGAAATTATTATTTTAATATAAATATTAAGTCTATGTTAATATACATATGTAAGTCCATCGTTACATTAAAAAAAATTACATGTTGTAACAGAATAGATTTTTGTTGTAGAGGTTAACATGTTTGTTTAGGATGACAGTCTCAGTGTGTTATTACTCACATCCTGCATTCCTATATATAATAGTTCATCATAATTGTGTGCTGTATTGGATATATATTCAAACCAAGGTTTTGAATTGCCCCACTGCTTTCTTTGTCATGTAGATTAGTTTGTGTCCATTTAAACCAGGATCATGCAATGCTGACATCTTTATTTAAAGTTATTTTGAGGATAAGCTTTTGTTTTTCAGAACACTTCTTGAAAATTCCTGGGAAGCAGTGTATTGAAAGTGGTACTCTGGGCTATTAGATCTTGTTCAGCTGCTCTCACAGATACCTGCACCATATAATAATTTTCAGACTGATTATGTGCCATACTAAAATAAAATTAAGATTATTCTGTTATAAGGAAGTTCCAGATCTTCTTTCTCTTATGATTAAAAGTATTTCATTTCTTGCATTGTCCTTTCTTGTGGTAGCCACAGTGCCTGCAGCAGATCACTGCACTCCGTGAAATGTCCAAGTGGAGGCAGCCTTACCTTCATTTAGATTTGCACGTCTTTTGAAAGTGGTTTCCATTGTTGTCACCTCTTTCCTCACCAACATGGTGGTGAAGGAGACTTAACAGGAACATTGTCAGGACACTTGGAGAAGCAGGGAGGGGCTCTTAATAGTCAGTGGATACTAAACCAACAGCACGAAGGGAAAATCCAGTGACAGTGCCAACTTAAGAGACTGGAACCTGAAGGAATTAAAGGACCTTGAACAATGTCAGTTTTCCAAATGCTTCAAGAATAGTTCCAATTTTTATCCTTAGTATTTTAAATGAGAAGTGTGGAGAGATGTGGGAGATAGCATTTGAGAAAAGGCAGGAAGCAGGAAAATCCAAGCTGCCATTTGGTGCAAAGAGAGGGGTGCAGATTGTTTGGGCCATACAGAAATCAAGTGCAACATGGTTGGTTATTTTGCAGAGTCAAAGGGCAGGGAAGTGTAGGGGCAGCATCTAAGAACAGCTTCAGTTTGTTTTGAACCTTCTTTTATTGCAGGAGTTGTTGCTGTAAAGCTGGAATTTTCCTGCACTGCTAATGCTTAGCTTTTCAGTCTTAATGTTGTGTTGTATTTCAATTTGCAATAGGTGTATACGTGAAATTTAGTGTAACAGGGTTTTTACTAAGTACATGCACGCAAAGCTGCTTACTTTGGAACAAAGTAGACTTGGAGGGGTCACTTAATTTTTGCATGTGTATGGCTGAGTGATTGCTCAAGCTGATTAATTAGATCTGTCCTCTAAAGGTTGTGTTGTTTTTCCAGTAACTGGAAGTTTGTTGCACTGAGTATTTCCTGCATCCTTTGCAAAATATATATTAGCATTTTTCTAGACCAATTTAGATGTTCTCCTACCCTTCTTTTTTAAAAATCTTCAAATATTGTGCTGTTATCCACAGATGTAAGGATGTTTAAATTGCATTAGTAATAATCTTTCAAGATATCAAATAATAGTGTAATGTTTTTCACCAGCTGTTTATTTTGGGTAGATTGACTTTGAGCTGGAAAAATCCTGTAGAAATACCATATGCTCATTTAATAAGTGTTTCTCTTCTTGTGCTGTTTCAGGCTTAACATTTACTTTCACTGTTTAATTTGGTGTATGCTGTTGGTGTATGTTGCTTTGTATTTTGAAATATCTCAGACTTTAAAAATATGTTTAACACTGTAATATTCTGGGGTTTTGGTTCATTTTTGGGATTTAGTAATTTCTTTTGTCATTATATTTAAAGATCACAAAAAATGTCTTGGAACAACTAAGTTGCAAGAACTTTGATCTGTTGTTTAGCTTGTAATTTTGATGATATGGCCAGTAGTTTATGTTGCTGGCACCGTGTTGACAACCAGTATGTTAACATCTCAAAATGATTTGAGTCAATGTTTTGCTCAAATTGCTCTTGTTCACTTGCAGCTTAATTGTGAGTAGCTTTCCTGGTTGTTATTTTAATGAAAATTCCTAAGACCAAAATTCTACTGGTCTGAAGGTGCATGGTAAACCTGTGTGAAAATCTTTGAGAGGTAGATGGAATTTCTTTAAGAATCTTCCACCCATTTGACTAAAAGATAATAATATTAACTTTATTCAGTGATACCAACATTAGCCAGCTTCCCTGTTTTTGCACACTGTTGTATATTAGTGAAGGTCTTCTGTTGTGGAACTATTCCACAAAAAATCTAAATCTGTCCATTGACATGAGCAGGTTTTCTGTCTGACCCCAAAGTCTCATAACTCTGTACTGCCAGGTGAGTACCTCAGTGTGAAGAAGCAAACTGGATGTGTCTTCCTGCTTGGGGTTCTTTGACCTCAGCCGTTGCCAGGGGTGTAGTGCTATCTACAGCCTGGCTAAAGGTGGTTGGTTGTTGTCACTTGTGGTTATAGTTTCCAAATCCTTATGCTATTTCAGATTTTTTTTTTAGCTGTTAATTTTTAATCTTGCTTGTTTTAATATATTTTCCTAGTTTTCATTATTTGTGATGTTTTGTTGGTGATTTTTAGCCCACAGAAGCTGTTCCTTCCTCTTCTCCCATTGTCCCTGTGATCCCTGTCCCACCAGTCCCTGCTGAGACCACTGTCATCCCATCCACCATACCACAGGTTTTTATTCTTTTGTTGTTGTTGTTAAATTTGTTCAACTTCTATTTATTGAGTTTATTTCATTGTTTTGTTTAAGTTCACTTTTTGGTACTCTCGCATGCAGGTTTGAGATGCGCTATGAAATAGCTCAATTAGTAATACACTAGAGTTTAATGTTTATTGTTTTATAGCAGATTTTAGTCCATTTAAAACACCTGTATTTTTATATTGTAAGTATATTAGTAAGTTGTGAAATAACTGAAGAAAAAAACCCCTAAAGAATAGAAAGAAGCAATAGGATATCTTTGTGTATGCATGATAATTTTAGTGGCATTTGACTCTTGCTGAAGTGTTACTGCTTGATTTATTTATAGAAAATTATAGTCTCATCTCATTTACAAATAGTTAATAGATGCCATTCACTGATGGCACTTGCATGACATTTCTAATGTTCTCTAGCCATTTGTTGGTACTAGTGTCCTGGGGGCATTTTGAATACGAAAGTGTGTGGTGTGTTGTTTTTTTTCACCTCTCTGTTCATAACATATATGACTCGTGAAATGTGCTTCTCTTTTAGAACTTCATCCTTTTGGTCACATAAATCAACACACAAAAAAACCCTGATCACCCTGTCAAGACAGGTGAAAACAATGAACATTAGTTAACACTAGTATCTTGCATATAACCCAGATTATGTGACCAGAACATGGCAAGTGATGGGATAGGATAGGTAGCAGTTACAGTTTTACACTAGAATGGCATTCTGCTTTTAGTTTTTTTTCCAGCTTTACTTTAACTTTCAGTGCAAAAATCTCAAACGATGAGTGCTTGCCTCCTGAAAAGATGCATAACTTTTTGGAATAGTTTGATGGCTGATGGTATTTATTAACTTTAAAAAGAAACTAAGCTATCCAGAACACTACTGGGATTTTTTTTTTGTCATGTACATGTCAATATTTTTTTTCTTAAGTTCTGCTTTCAAACTATGAGGCTAAACTTGCAACAGATGGTAATCTTTTTTAATCTCTGCTACATTGTTAAATTTTACATAATCCAATAATTCTAAAAAAGGTTTTACAGCTGTTTTATAGTGGAATTTCTAGTGGATGTGTGCTTACTTGAATCTGTCTTTACCCAACAGGCAGATCAGAGATTTGATTAGGTTCGGACATATTTGCTTCCTGTAGAGGGTTTGTGCCCTCATCAGGATTTGAGACTAGTACAACCAGTGGGCTTCTGTTGTCAGCCTTGATAGACAAAGATAACTAAGTTGCCAGTAGCATTTCCTTTCAGAGAATTGCCAGTAGACTAAACTTAATTTAAAATAATTAATTCTATGTGCATTTATATTTTCTTTGACTGCCATTGCTGTGGCAGTATCACTGTCCACTGATGATGCTGGATTACAAGCAGAAGAGTAAGAATTTGTGTGTGCTCTGTGCCTCTGTCTTCTGAGTGCATATGAATGTCTGCAGGATTTAGCTATATATTCCTGCATCATTTGTGATTCTAAACAGTTAGAAAATACTATAGAAAGTTGTAATCAACTTTGGATTTGGCAGACGCATTTTTGTGCAATACATATATCTCTCTATTCTGTTAATCACTTTACTCTTAGGCAAGCTCTCGGTCTGCTTGTAAACAAACTTGTCAAGTGGCTTTTAAACATTTGAACAAGCCCTGTCACAGAAGCTTGAAAGTGTTAGGTAATTTAGAGGACTGTTTCTAACCAGACTGAAATACCATGACTTCCAAAAACATTTGATGTTTTGAGTTAGCTGTTGCTCTGAGTCATTGCAATGTCCAGGCGTACCTTTGGAATGCCTGGCACAAAGCTTTGCTCCTTCCTGCTTGGAAATGGTGCTGGATTATTGCTTTTTGATGGAGAATTCAGGTAAATGCCAAAGGAGTATTAGGAACAGTCACTTAACTTGCAGAAGATGTTTTCCATCAGTTGGCTAGTTTGTGTCTCAAACATACTGTTCACATAGAAATCACACATGCTAATAGCAATTTGCTTTTAGATAGTTTTCCTCATCTGTTTTTTAAGACATTAAAAGAACATTCTTCAGTCTCAAGAAAAAGATTCATGGGAAACCAGCTTTCAGTGACACTGCTTTTGTTGAATTTACTTGGATGTTACAGAATCCGTGTTTTGTTTTCTACTTAAAAATTAAAAATATTTTCAAAGGTGATGCAAACTAAAATAAATGTGTGTATGCTGATCTCTCGTAGATCTGTTGGGGATTAGACTCAATGCCTCATATTAAGTCAGGTTCTTTTTAATACCATGTATTTTGTTTAGGCTTTCTAAAAACAATGTTAATTGTAAAAAGCATAATTTGATTGGGATTTTTAGTACAGGATCTTGTTTTTAGTTTAATCTTCTTCTAATAGAACTTGCACTTGAATAAGAAGCAGAAATTGGAATGTAACTTAATGTCAGGAATTACTCGTGAGGGGTAGCATTGTTTTGACAAGAGATGTTTATTGTGATGCTAGTAACCAGTACTGGATTTCTGCACTGCATAAAGTGTGCCCATGCTTCTCCTGAGAGAATTGCTGGGTGAGAAAAGTGTTTGATGGTTTCTTGACATAGTCATCAGTGTAGTCCTTTTGGTCTCCATTTTTTAATAGTCTGCTCTGTTGACTTGCACAAATACCACTGATTTTAGTACACTAAATGATACAGGCCTAATTTCTGACACAGCAACCTGATAGCAGATTGATGACTCCTATCCAGTGACAGTAGAATATTCATCTCAGTCTTTTGTAAAGAACTTCTGAGTCATCACTTACTTTGTAGCTTCTGGGAGCTTTTAAATATAATGAATTCTTCAGAAGTATGTTGTTGTCATGGTAATGAAACTGAAATGCAGAATATGACTAGGTTAGTGTAGTTGTCATGGTTTTGTAGGTCTTAAATTTATCTTTAAATTAATTTTATACTATCTTCTCTTGCAGCCTGTTAAACTCTCCTTAAACTTACTTACACGTGAGGTTAAAAAATAAAGGAAAGTCTTAACTTTAAAGGTGATGTGTTTTTATACATACAAAACCAATCTCAGCTTCATTAAAGCAGTAAGGAGATTAACTTTGTTTTGTGCCACTGAGTTTGTAAGTCTTGTTGAACTAATACATCAACTGTATTTGGAATCTGGAATATAGCTGCGTACTTCTTTTTGTTCTTAGAGCAGACTACGTGCTGCCTATCTTAAAGTAAGACTAATTGATGCAAAAATAGGAAATCTGTCTGTTTTGAAGTATTTAAGATAAATGGCACCAGCCTGTATGGATTTCCTTTCAGTTGAAACCACATTTTTTTTCAGAAAAGTTCTCAGTAGAAGAGAGTTAATTCTCAGAGAGTAAAAGTATTAGCTTATTCTACTAGTTCTTGGCTAGGAACAATGCTGTGCTATTTAATATTTCTGTAGCAATATTCTCTTGACTGCTTATGGCTTGTGAATCCATAAATTTTCTGGTGGAGGCACATGCTGCTGTGTGCTGGATGAATGTCAGCTGTCGATTTGCTTTCAGAATTAATTTCTGTAGCTCCTTTCTTCCATAATTTTGCATTGTAAGTTTCCATTTGTGCATCTTGAAGAGGTGGAGAGCAGTGTTCCTGGGAGGAAGAAAGAGAAATCAAATCCACCAGAATTTTTTTTAAGATGCTGGCTGGTAAAGCAACTTCTGGGTGTCATACCAGAAATACTAGGGTAACTGACATCACATCAAATGATAGCATGACTCAGTTTTTCTTTTTAAAAACAGGACAATAAAGGCCAGGACTTGTATATAAAATATGAGCTCAGAATTTTGGAACAGTGTAGTTTTGTGGCATGAAAGGAATTTCTTCAGGGTAGAAACAAGTGTTTCAGAAGGTGAGTTTTAACATTCTCAGGCTGGGGCTACCTATTAACTGAACTTTGAGAAACACGACAAATTAAATGTTGAATAATTATGATTAGTATTGCTCTCTCTCTTATGCTGTATGATTTTTTTTTATTCTTTTCTTAAAGGCAAATCCCCCTCCAGTGCTGGTGAATACCGATTCTTTGGAGACTCCAACATATGTAAGCCTACATTTGCTTTCAATTATAACTTTAGATAATGTTTTATGTATGTAGCTGTGTTGTTACTGTTTAATAAAACCTATCTTACCTCTCTAATGGTGCTGGATTTTGCCAGCTACCCTAATGGTTATTTGAAGTCCTTAAATAGCTGTTTCATAACAAAAAATACATTTTAGATTGCAGGTGGAAGGTTCTGTGTGAGTACCAGTGTATGACTGTGCAAAATAATGGTTGGTTGAGGTTCCAGAGGTTCAGTGTTCAGAGAACAATCTGTTTCTTCAACTGCACAGGCAGATGCTTTAATATTTAATGTGCCATTTCCATTGCACTTCTCATAAAAACGCTTCTTCATGCAGTGACTATACTTAAGATTTTAATGCTCTAAACATTAATAAAAATCGATTGATTCTGTCTGAAACGTTAAGGTAGTAAATGTGGTGACGTGGAGGCTGGAATCTGTGTTTGGCAGTAACATTTTGTGACAGGAATACCACTGGCAGGTAGAGACGTCAGAGGATTTGGAATGTGTGTAAGTTTGGCATAGGTTTCAGGTCTGAATTTTCCTTCTGTACCTTCCTCCTGCAGTTAGTTATGTTCCACTTGCTTGTCATTTTCCTGAGCACTGTTAAATGTATGTACTGGTTGCTTCATATTGTGTTTATTCTAGTACTGCTATGAGCAAGTAAAGAGTAAATCTTGTCCTTGTCAAAAGCGTTCATAAGTTAGCAACATTGCTAGAAAGGAGCTGTAATAACTCAAGACAGACAAAACCATGAATTAACAGTTTAAGGAGAAGACAGAAGATTGAGACGGGGATATAACTGGCTCATAAAGGAGTCCTGAGTAAGTGCAGTAATGATGCCTCTGACAAAAGGATCACAGCAGTAGCCTGCAGTGTGTGGCCTCTTTATTGATGTGATGCTGTTATGGTTTAGAAAAGCATACTGAAGATGAGATGTCTCACTGCACAAACTAAACCAAAAGAAAAGTGGTTTAATAATATGTATTCACATTTCAGAAGGCCTGTACCTGATAGAGATGCATGGAGGACAGAAGACAGTAGAAATAGGAGGAGAAAATAGCATTAACAGAAAAGACTGGTACTCCAATTTATAAGCTATCTAATTTATCAGTTTACAGTGAAAGTAAAACAAATAAGCTTCTAAGTATCTGCGATCTAGCTGACTGTAAGCGTAGGAAGTTGAATGAAGGAATAACCTTCTAGCTTCCAGAGTAACTAATGGAATTGTTAAGTGATATGCAATGTAAAAAATCATACTTTTGAAGTAATTGCATCATGAATCTACAAAAACCTTAACTATTGAAGTTCTTTCTACTGAAAGAATTAAAAAGCAGAATATCAAGCAAGAAACTTATCAAGGAACAAATAGTCAAGAACACAGCTCTTGTTATCTGAGTCATACAGCTGCTGAGGAACTACTCTCTCTTAGGACTCAAATTGGTTGGAAGAAACTACCAAGAAGCGTATTTTTTTTTTAAATAGCTCTTTGTAAAAGCCCAAGGAAATACAGAACTCGAGTTCATGGCACATGAAAAGATTGACCATGTCAGAGAAGTTTACTCCAGTACAGCCAAAAGTCTCTAACTAAATTCTGCTGAACTGCTAATAGGCTTTCAGATTCAAAGTAGATTACTATGGCATAATTACAGCATTTGTCTAGAATGTCCTTCATCCAGGGGAAGTCTCTGCAAATAAAGCTTGGCTTAGTGGCTCTGGAATCAGTTCAAAATGTGCAAAAGGTAGAATAGGACAGTCATTTTTGTGTCCTTACTCCAGTATTTGCTAATGGTTAGGGTTCTTTTAGATAAAATCCCATTCAAAGGTAAATTAACCCCCCCCCCAGGGGTGGTACTAGAACTGAGATAAAACAAAAGATAAAGATGATGGAGTTTCTTGTTTGCTCCTGTTTTTCTAGATGATATTTTAAAATTTGATTACAGAGTTTTGTACATGGAAATAAATAAGAGGCTGCTTAAATATATTAGGATTAGCTTTGTTTTGTGTAATGGTAATGAATAAGGAAATAATTAATTGCCCTAGTTATTTATTTAAAATAAAAAAAGAAGGAAAAAAAGCACCACATACTGATCAGTCATCATGAACAATGCATTTCCCAGGTACTGTAATACTGGATGACTGGTTCAGTTAACACTTGTCATTCTTGTAGATAATAGCTCAAGGACTAAGCTAATATAAAAACTTCTTGATCACAGTGGCTTCTTTTGTGTTGGTGTCCTAATAGATAGAGTTTCATGTATTCAGAAGGTCAAGACCTCTTTCCTTTTTAATGGAGAAATATCGTGTTAAAACAATGGTATCTTTTCTTCTGAACTAACTACTAAGGGCTTAATAATTTTTGAGATGCTGCAGAAAGAAGATGATAATCTCTCATGTCTGGACATGGCTTCTGTTGTTTTAAGGGGAGATGTAATTTGACGAAAAACTGTAGTGAGGGATAAATGAGTGTGACATTAGCCTGTGAAAGTTGTGGCATCTCCAGCTTTTGGATCTTTTAAATATGTTAGATAAACATGAGGAATTAAGTAGATTGATATTAATTTTGTTTGGAGTGAATTAAAAGTCCCTTTTAAAATTCTCTGCTAGAAAACGGTACAGATTTAAAATACTTAATTCAGAAATTTTGCACCTTTATAAAATCTTCAGTGGTATGTTAAGAGTACAGAGGACTACAAGTACAGAATATCTTAAGAATAGACAAGATGCTTTGTAAAATAATAGTATAAATGTTATTTCTTATTTTGTTAAATATTTCATCCTAAAAGACTGGAAATAGGGAACTGTCTGTACCTATGTGTTGTATATGCTGCTGTAGGTATTGGTAGAGGAGAGAATTTGAGTTCCAAAGTATCTTGCTAATTGAAAAATAATCATAATGTTACTTTTATATTAAATATGGTTAAGAATTTTATATTAATTGTTTTTACTTCATTTAGATATTTCTTCTCTTATTTGGGTCTGTCCCAGTTCTCTAGGCAGCAAAGAATGAGGGTATCTTTTCTAACTTGAGGATGATGAGGCTTACTTCTAGTATTTGGGTTTTAAATCTAGCTCTATAGAATATTATTCTAAACTATTCTGCTTTTGGCTTATTTTAATTTGTTCATCTTTAGTACATATGTAAAATGATAAATAGTAATATAAGCTGTTTTAAATGTTGCTTTAGAAGAGTCTTGCCTGTTCCCAGTGAGAAATGGTATAAACCATCTGTCCTGGGTTCTTCTCTGCCCTGTGAGGAACAACAGTTTGAAAATAATGCTCTGATCTATACAGTTACTCCTCTGCCCCATGAGCCCTTCCTTTTTTTTCTAAATTTCCACTTGCTACATGGTCTGAAGAACATCTGAGGATCTCAAGAGTGTTTTGTTATTTTTCTTGGCAATAAGCAGCAGAGGGCCTCTGCTTTACAGTATCTGTGTCTGGAACAGTCTGCTTTCTGAAATTTTAAACTTTTAAACATCTACAGAAAGA